TCTTTGTGTTACTATCATATTGCCAGCGCATCACGTACGAAGAAGGAGAAACTCTCGTCGCGAATGGGAACAGCAATACTGGTAGGGTACTCACCGACGACGAATGGATACAAGATCATGGATTTATTGTCTGGTGCTGTATCCACGCATCGAGGTGGCAATTTGGTATGGGCAGAAGACTACACAGTTGGCCAAGATTACATGGACAAACTTTTGCTCAACGCGTACAAGCATGGTACGCATAGTCTTCCGTCTCGAGCACCGTTAGTACCCATGCAGATGCAAATTGAGGACGTTGTTGGCTTGGATTCTGTTCACGAGAGCGTACTGGTTGGAGCTGGCACGGCAAATACAGTCTCGAGTGGAAGAGCAAGCGCAAGTCCCCAAGCTATTGAGCCAGGCAGTGATAAACAATCTGAAATGCATGGTGGTGGTGTTGCTCAGGGCCAATCGACGTCGTCATCCAATAATGGAGATCTACCTGCAGAATATGATACCGTCGGCCGTCACCCAGTGTCTCGGGCTGGTCGGAAACGCAAGAGAAACTCGAACCTTCAGGATTTTGAATTGAATCATGTGGCTCCCTGTTCATCAAGTCGGTGGATACAATCGCTACAATACTCTCCTAATGACTTAGTGTCTCAGCGGTTGCTGGCCCAAGAAGTCAAGATTCCTACAACGTACAAGCAGGCCACAAAAGATATCCATGCGACCTACTGGAAGGCTGCAATGGAGGAGGAACTCGCTTCGCTACGTCGTCATGGTGTTTGGATCGTTGTGAATCGAAATGCAGCAGGAGGAGCCGCGGTGATCACCAACAGATGGGTGTATGCAGTAAAGAAAGATGAACGGGGCTTTGTCAAGCGATTCAAGGCGCGTTTGGTTGTTCACGGTTTTAAACAGATATTTGGGATTAACTATAACGAGACCTTCGCACCAGTAATACGGTTTGACACGATTCGAGCGGCCATATACTTCGCTATGCAACGTGGTTGGTGTATCCTTCAGTATGATGTGAAAACGGCATTTCTGCATGGGGCCCTGTCTGAGACTGTGTTCATGGAGCTACCTCAAGGCTGTGGATCACCCGGAAATACTCGGATTTGCAGGTTGGTGAAGTCGCTATATGGTCTTAAGCAAGCTCCTCACGTGTGGAATAAGACACTACATCGTCACTTAGTAGCTCTTGGATTTGTACGTCTTGAGAGTGACCACGGTCTCTACGCCCTTCACGAGAAGGGGGAGATTTCCATGCTCCTCACAGTGTAAGTGGACGATCTACTACTTATGGGCGTGAAGGACAAGTGTGCAGTAGTGGCCGAGCAACTCGCAACGAGTTTTGAGCTAGTGGAATTGGGACCTGTGAAGTATCTCTTGGGCGTGGAAGTTGTAATTGATCGAGAGCGGAACTCAGTATTTTTCAGTCAGTCTGCCTACATTGATGAACTATTGCGTCGTTTCCACATGACAAATTGTCACGGAGTTGCTACGCCGGAGGTAACATCAAGTGAGTCGAGTCAAAATTGCAGTGGCGAAGTTCAAACTGGAGTACTACCGTATCGCGAAATTGTAGGAGCATTGCAGTATCTCGTATCAGGATCGAGACCGGACATTGCCCATGTCGTTCGTCGTCTCGGCCAATACATGGCAAACTTTGATGCATCGCACTTTGCTCAAGCTAAAAGAGTACTACGATATCTCAAGTCGACAAGGGAGTATGGGCTGGTGTTACAGATTAGTGGGGCATCGCTAGAATTGTTGCGTATCGAGGCGTACACGGATGCCGACTACGCAAATGACCAGTCCGACCGCCAGTCGATCAGTGGTTACATCACCATGATTAACGGTGGAGTTATCTCATATGGCTCTCGAAAGCAAGGTCTCAACTCCCAAAGCACGATGGAAGCAGAGTATGTGGCGATGAATGAGGGTGCACGAGATATAATGTGGCTACGGGGTCTGTGTGATGAACTGAAGTGGCGGTTCGACACCCCTAAGCTGTGGTGCGACAATACAGCTGCTATTGCTCTTAGTCACAAGCCAGGCAAGCACAATGGCAGCAAACACATAGAAAATCGCTTTCACTATGTGCGTAATCTGGAGGAGCGGCAGCTGATAACAGTTCGGCATTGCAGAACGGATGAAATGACAGCAGATATATTGACGAAGCCGCTCGCACGGGTAAAGTTTCAGCATTTTCGCTCACTTCTTGGTGTCGTGCATCGATATCATCAGGAGAAGAACAAGGAAGATGCTGATGATGATACTGCCATTTGGATGGTGATCTGCTGTGATGCTGGTGATCAGCAACAAAGCCACGAAGGTCGTGAAGCTATATAGCACGAAGGTCGTGAACAAAGTAGCCTGAAGAAAGTACACGAAGGTCGTGTATTAGCTGTACTGCACGAAGGTCGTGCACATGAATCCACGAAGGTCGTGTGTGATGCTGTGCGATG